CGATCCTCAGATCTCAGCCTCCTGAGTAGCTAGGATTACAGGCGTGAGCCACCAGCGCCCGGCTCTGTCATTTTCATTTTAGCTCTTTTTCATTTCATTCTATTCTATTCTTTGTATTCTAGTTTATTATTTTGTTTCAGTGCTGGGTCTTGAACTCAGGGCCAGGGTGCTGTCCCTGAGCTTTTGTACCCAAGCCTGGGGCTCTACCACTTGATCCACAGCCCCATTTCTGACTTTTTGTTGGTTCATTGGAGATAAGAGTCTCCTGGCCTTTTCCTGCCTGGCCTGGCTTCAAATCATGATCCTCAGATCTCAGCCTCCTGAGTAGCTAGGATTACAGGCGTGAGCCACTGGTGCTGACTTGTTCTTTAGTTGATTGAATACTGTCCTTATTTTTCCTTTCTCTAACTTGTCTGTGTTCTAACAGGAGGACATTCAGACCCAGTCCTGGGAGAAAACTCTCTCTAGACCTAGCTGAGGCTAGACTGCCTTTATTCCCCCCCCCCGGGGGGGGAGGGGCAGGAGGAGGTGTTTCCTCTTCAGAACAGGGGAGGGTGGGGTTAAAATCCAAGCCCAGGACCTGGAGGTAGAGGCTTCACCTGTCTGAATTGTCCTCACGTCGAGACTTCTCCCTACCAAGGACCACTTTGATGAGTTCTATAAAAATTAACTTACTAAAAATAGAAGATGAAAAATGCAAAAAAAATTAGGATGATGATTTTTTTGAACCAAAAAAAATTTTTTTTCAAATAGCCTCCATTCTGGGCATGATAGTACATGCTTGTAATCCCAGCACTTAGTCAGAGGTAGGGGATCATGATTTGGGGTGAATAGGGAGAGCCTGTTTCAGAACAACAAAAGCTCCCCCAGGGCACTGCACTGTGGAAGTAAATTGAGGGGTGAGGAGAAAAGTGGGGTGGTGAGAAGAAGAAATAGGATAGTGTATGGAAATGTAAACTAAGGCTGGGCGTGGTGGCACACTCCTGTAATCCTAGGTACTGAGGAGTGGGAAGGTCTCAGTTCAAGATCGGCACAGCAGTATTAGTGAAAGTGGAGCTCTAATGATAGAGAACCGACCTTGAGTGAAAAAGCTAATATACAGCATACAGGCTCTGAGTTCAAGCCCTAGAACCAATACACACACACATACTCTTTCTCTCTCTCTCCTCTCTCTCTCTCTCTCTCTCTTTCTCTCTCTCAGATTAGAGGTGTGGCTCAGGTGGTAAAGTTCCTGCCCAGCAAGCACAAAGCCCTGAGTTCAAACTCTTCCAGTATAAGAAGGCAGGCAGGCAGGCTAATACTAAAAGTTCTAAGCCTCATACCACCTGCAGATTCCTCAGAAGGGAAGTTTAGGCTTCTCAGAGCAATATCATAATCAACCACAGATCTTACCAGGTGAGAAGAAAGCAATTTTCCCACTGGTGCATGGAGCGGTCCTTTGCTGTGCCAGAAATTCCCAAGTGCAGTCTATGTTCAATCTGAGTATTATTAAAATGCCAGGGACAGTAATTCTGATCCAGAGGTATGTCATATGCAGGCGTGGACATGTCACAATGAAACCTGAGCTTTCATTGGATGGTAATCTAAAACAGTTACTAGCTGGACACCTGTGGTTCACACCTGTTATCCCTAACTGTTCAGCAGGCTGAGAGCTGAGGATCGTGGTTCAAAGCCAGCCCAGGCAGGAGAGTCCATGAGCCTCTTATCTCTAGTGAACCAGCAAAAAGCTGGAAGTGGAGGTGTGGCTCAAGTGGTAGAGTGCCCTGTGACCATTGCTGTTGGTGTTGTGCATTGCAGTGATCCCAGATACCCTGCAGGCCACTGCCGTGCCCCAGACCCTGCACCGGGTGGAGCAGGATGCCCTGGAGCTCAGCTGCGAGGTGGGCACGGACACGGAGCAGCATAGCCACGTGTCTGTGTCCTGGCTGCGGCAGAACGGAGGCGAGATGCCAGTGGAGGTCATCTCCCTGAGCCGGGACTTCGTGCTGCACTCCAGCAGCGACTATGCCCAGCGGCAGAGCCTGGGCGAGGTCCGGCTGGACAAGCTGGGGAAGACCACCTTCCGCCTCACCATCTTCCACCTGCAGCCCTCTGACCAGGGCGAGTTCTACTGCGAGGCTGCCCAGTGGATCCAGGACCCCGATGGCTCATGGTACGCCATGACCCGGAAGCGCTCCGAGGGTGCCGTGGTCAACGTCCAGCCTACCGGTGAGTCTCCGAGCCACGTCCCTGGGGACACCAGGACGGTGTGGACTTCCACCTTCCTGGTGGGTTCCTGCAGGCAGGGGGACAGAAGGGTGAGCAGGCATCGGGGCTGCTTCCTAGGCAGGTCCTGGTGCTGGGCTTTCTTTTCCTTTACCTACACCACCTGTGTGTTTGATTAGAGACATTCCTTTAAGAACTGGAGCTTGGCATTGGTGGCTCACGCCTGTAATCCTAGCTATGCAGGAAGCTGAGATCTGAGAATTACTGTTGGAGGCCAACCCAGGCAGATAAATCTGAGAGACTCTTAACTTCCAGTTAACCGGCAAAAGGCGAGAAGTGGAGATGTGGCTCAACTGGTAGAGCTCCAGCCTGGAGTAAAAGCCAAGTGAGAGTATGAGGCCCTGGGTTCAAGTCCCCATACTGCCCTTCCCAAAAAGAACTTGAAAGGGTTCACTGAAATTGTCTTATCTTGTGACTCTGGCCTGCTCCTCTGATCCTTTCCCTGGCTCAACCTCCCTCTCTGACCCTTTCCCTGGTTTGACCTCCCTCTCTGCTGAGGCCTAGGTTGACCAGGGAGGGGGGAGGGGAGGGGAGACTTCCAGGTTATAGTGGAGGCAACTCCTGGTGAGCAGAGAAGCAGAGCTCCTGGTTTATTTGTTCTGCTTCTCTGTGGTCAGCGCAGCTCTGGGAGGAGCTGGGCAAGGCAGGGTCCCTGGACAGCTAATGGATGTGGGAACTTTCTTCCTACCAATGGCTCCTAGTCAAGGAGCACTTAATCTGCTCTGTAGGACCTAGGGCTTTTAGAAGCTTCTAGACCATCTCACATTAAGAAGTCCACTGAAGAGGCTTTAGTTCCTGTTTATCATTTCCCTTCTTGGAGGGTTTTAAAGGCAGCTTCAAAAGTCTGCACCACATTTTGAGTCTTAATGCTTTAAAATTAGGTTGCAACAGTGGAATCTTCTTTATTTTAATCTTACCAATTTGGAATTAGGACTTTTTGAATTTGCCCTACAAATGAATCCAGACTAAGCTACCAAAGGGAAGATATTTAACAGGGGGAAAATGGAGTGGATCTGCTCCCTGTGTGTCCTTGTGCCGGCTCCGTGTCTGCATCTCCCAGTTTTCCCTGCTCCTGGTTTGCTTCTGTAATTCATACCCAGCCCCAGCAGCCCTGGAGAGCTGGGTTGAGGCTTCAGGAGGTGTCGGGTGGGGGGCAGTTGGTCTGTGCACTTGGGGGGCTTGCAGGCCTGGGAACCAATGACCGAGCAGAAAGGCTGTGTGCTGGGACGTGTCTGCAGAGGAGAAGCCACATTTACGAGTTCTGGGCTGAGTCGGGGGAGAAGAAAGAAAAGTCACCTGAGTCCAGATGCTGAGTTGGAGCAAAGAGTAGACTCTGTGGTCTATGGACTGAGGTGTTCCAGCTGCCCTTCCAGAAGCCCCAGGAGCATCTCATGGGGTCGGAGGTGGCACTTGGCTCTGTGGGAGACTGTTTTTTGATTTGTTTTGTTTTTTTTTGCCAATTCTGGGGCTTTGCCTCAGGGTTTGGGCACTGTCCCTGAGCTTCTTTTGCTCAAGGCTAGCACTCTACCACTTGAGCCACAGCGCTACTTCTGGCTTTTTCTGTTTACATGGTACTAAGGAATTGAACCCAGGGCTGCATGCATGCTAGGTAAGCGCTCCACCACTAAGCCACATTCGCAGCCCAAGACTGGGCTTTTATATGCCAGGCCTAAAGTCCAGCAGTCCCAAGCCAGTCCTGGCCCCTGCCCCGCAGGCCACAGAAAGAGACACGGTGAAGGCGGAGAAAGGAGATTTTATCCACGTCAGCCTCGGGAGGATGGCGCCCAGGGCATCGCCAGTCCTCTGGGTACAGATCTCGGGCTCTGGTGGAGTGGGGAGAGTAGGGGCAGGATGAGAAAGGCCCATGGGGTTCACTCAGTCCCAGGTCATGGAATGACCTGCTGAGCCCTGAGTTCTGGCTCTGTCCTGGGAAGATCTGGAGCCATCCTTGCGTGCTCGCTGGGACAGAGCAGAACAAGGAATAAGAAGTGTCCCCCCCCCCCATCCCTCTAGGCATGGAGGAGGAGCTTCGCAAGCAGGAATGACAGCAGATGGGGGTTTTGGAGGCAGAATGTGGAGGCCATCTGGAAGGCTGTTGGGTCTGCAGCTAAAAGGCCGGTAGAGAAGTACGCGTGGCTGGGCAGGTGGGAGGCCAGGGTGGAGGATCCTGGGTCAGGATGCCCATGGGGCTCCGTGTGCAGAGCTCTGCCTGTCTGGCTCTTCTTAGTGTTAGCAGGGTGTGGCTCCTGTGAGTGGCTGTCAGGCTGTGGTCTGGGCAGCGCCACTGGACCGCACAGAGCAAGCCCAGGACAGGGCCGAAATAGGATGTAGTCAGAGGAGAGGCAGGGGGTGGGGTGCAGTCAGGATGGCCTGGGCTTTGCTCCTGGTGGAGCTGGGGAAGACGAGCCATGGGTGTTGCAGTGCGAGAAGCCACAGCTCCATGTCCGGGAGCTGGATGCCAACAGAGGCCAAAGCCATACACAGAAGCTTCACAGACCAAGCCAGCAAGCCAGCAGAGGGCACTGGGAAGGACAGGGTGTGTCTTCAACCAGGGAATGAGGAGGCCCAGCCCAGGGCAAATGACAGGTCTGAATATCCACAAGTCCACAGGGGTTCCACCAGGGTCATGGTCAGTGAGGACGGCTTGGGGGCGTGGTCCATTGGGCGTGGCCCATGGGGTCCTGGCGCTGTTGTCTGGTCGTGAGTCACTGTCATTGTTTGACCTGAGGGCTAATGATAGCTATGGGCACAGGCTCAGCCCTGCAGGATGTTCTTCTAGCAGATGGGGCCTTGGGCTCCTGGGTGGGGCAATGACAGCCACGCTGGGAGATGAGTCCTGGAGTGATGGAAGGCTCCTGGGAAAGGTCGGAAGAGTCTGGTCACTGGGGAATAGTGCCTGGCAGGATGTGGACCGGGTGGGTGGAGCCTGGAGAGGGGGAGGAGAGGGTGGACAGACCCAGGTCCTGAGGTGTAGGAAAGGCCCTCATCTGCCTCCTGAGGACGCAGTTGAGGCTGAGGCTGGTGTGTGCTCCAGGAGCTCGTGTATACTCAGGCCACGGTCCCTGCCTCAACCTCCCCTGGCCAGGCTCTGTGATCACTTCCTCTGGCACTCAGCTCTATCTCTTTGCTCCTCACTCCTTCTACAGGGCCTCTGAGATCCAGTGCCAGTCACTGGACACAGTTGCTAGAGCTCCGCTTGGGCCTCCACAGTGCCCCTCTGGAGACTGCCAAGTTCCGTGGCCCGTTAGAGGACCTCTGGCTGTCAGCACACATGGCTAGTTTTTGTTTTTCCAGTAATGTAGCACTGTTAGTTTGCCTTGCACGCTCACTTGGCATTTTCACTCAAGGCTGGTGATCTACTATCTACTACTTGAGCCACAGCTCCTCTTCTGGCTTTTTGCGGACTCGTCAGAGATAACTCTCAGGCTTGCTTCAAATTGGGATACTCAGACCTCGGCTTCCTGAGCCACTGCCCGGCTTGCCTTTACATGTCTTGTCTCCATGTTCTCATGTGGTAGAAGGAATGCTGGCATTGTCACTGGTGTTTTCTAGGACTAAGGTCAACACCCATGCCACTCTGTAATTTTGCCTCACAGATCTCCTAGGTGGGGGGAGTCTTGCAATAGCAGATGAAAATACTTGTGAGTTTGTTGCTTCAAAGGAATTCCAAGAGCGTATGTCAGGCTCGGCCCAGCAGGCTGTTTGTAGGGGATGCCAGTCATGGCTGGCAGGCTCTCGGGGGCATGGCAAGCCCAGCCCAGTGGTCTCAACAGGAGTATCAAGCTCCCTAGATGCTCTGGGTCTGGATGGCACTCTGACATTTCAGGGTTGGGTGGGGAAGCAGAGGCAAAGGTGGGGGAAACTGAGGTAAGCTTCTCAGCTTCTGGTGGGAGGGCCTCCTCATGCATGAGACTTTGTCCTTAAACTGGGGGGAGGGGGGAGTACTGACTGCCCCATGAGCAGGGGGAAGGAGGCTGGGGATGGCTTCCGGGGTTCCTCTTTTGTGGCCCCTTGGGGCGAGTCTGTTTCTTGGCCCCCCCCCCATGCATGTGTGGTTGTTTTCTTAGACAAAGATTTCACGGTCCGGCTGGAGACTGACAAGCGGCTGCACACGGTGGGCGAGCAGGTGGAGTTCCGGTGCATCCTGGAGGCTCAGAACATTCCAGATCGCTATTTTGCTGTCTCCTGGGCCTTCAACAGCTCGCTCATCGCCAGCATGGGCCCCAACGCCGTGCCTGTCCTCAACAGTGAGTTCGCCCACCGGGAGGCCAAGGGACAGCTGAAGGTGTCCAAGGAGAGTGATGGCGTGTTCGTGCTGAAGATCTTCCACCTCCGCCAGGAGGACAGCGGCAAGTACAACTGCCGCGTGACAGAGCGTGAGAAGACTGTCACCGGCGAGTTCCTGGACAAGGACAGCAAGCGCCCCAAGAACGTCCCCATCATCGTGCTCCCGCTCAGTAAGTAGAGACACAGTGCGTGTGCCGGGCCTCGTGGACTGGCCAGCATCATGGCAGAGAATATGGGGAAACACTGCAGACAGGGACCCCAGACCTGAGATGGGGCAGCTAGCTGAGTGGAGACACGGCTGTGCCTGCCCAGCCACAGACCCCAGAGGAAAGGGCTGAGACCCTCAGATCCACCTGAGGAGAGTTAACCTTTCACAGGGGTGTGGAGTCCACACGTGAATTACTAAGGGCTTGCTGCCTGGGTATTTTCCAGGCATAAACCTCTTGCCTACTGAAATCACATTACTAAAAGTGAGTGGGTTGCCAAGCACTGGCAGATCACACCTGTAATCCAAGCTGATCAGCAGGCTGAGATCTAAGGATCCCGATTCTAAGTTAGCCCAGGCAGGAAAGTCCATGAGACTTACCTCAGATTAACCACCAAAAGGCTAGAAGTAGAACTATGGCTCAAGTGGTAGAGCACCAGCCTTGAATGGAAAAAGCTGAAGGACAGCACCCAGGGCCTGGCTCAAATCCCAGTACTATACCAAAAAAGAAAACAAAACCCACAAGTAAGTGTGTAGTTAGGCAGTGGGTTATCATGTGCCAGCCTAGATTGATTCTAGAAGTAAAATAAGACTCAGTGGTCAGGGTCTGGGTCTTTCTGGCGTATGCCTAGGAGAGTGTCCACCTCTGGAGGCAGCTCTTGGCATGGTGGGGGGGAGGGAGGGATGGAGGAGGGAGGAGGGCCTCTGCTGGGGACCCCGGCAGCCACCATGTTGATTCATGTGTTTCAAATGTCCTTTGTGTCTGATGTTCTCATTAACTTCTTTTCTCTCACAGTTCTGTTTTTAGTAAAATAATAATAGACACTTAAGATGCCCCCATTTCAACAAGAGAGTGAAGTTTTACGACTAACCTTTAACCTTCCCTCCGCTGCCAGATTGTCCTTCCTCCTAGCCTTGTAATGATGACGTTTCATTTCTGCGTTCACATGTCCCCAGTATGTCCTTAAAGTGTAAGGTTGGAAGCGCTCTTTCTTCTCTCGTAACAGGATACTAGGATGCATACTGTTTATTAAATACACACACACACACACACACACATGCCGCTGCCTTGTCACCTTGAACTTCGTCTGCCTCTTCCATTTCTCTCCCTGCAGTGCCCAGCAACGGTACCTGGCACAGACCAGGTGCTTGCTTCGTAACTGAACTAACTGAATGCTTGCCCTGCTCTTGTCTCTGCCCCTGTCGGCCTAACCTTGCGTTAACCACAGACTTTCCTCCGACATCTGTGACTAACTCCTCCCAGTCTGGCCAGGACGGAGCAAAGGGCAGCCTTGCTGCTCCTCACCTCCTGTCCTCTCCCATGCAACATGCCCCTCGCCCCCAGCCCCTTCCAAGAACTTGTTTGTGATCTGTGGCCTGCTTTTCCAGCAGATGACTGGGTAGTTAAAGTCCCCCAGCACCACCAGAACCTGCCCCAAGGCCACTTGGGTAAGTCTACCAAAGACCAACCGCAATCACACCGGTAATGATGATGATGCTAATAATAAATCAGATCTTAATGGTGCTTTTCCTCCCCACGAGTCCAAAGTGCTTCCACATAAGTGAACCTCTCTCCCATCCCGGAGAGGGCAGAGCTATGAAGGGAGGACAACCCAGGGAGGAACACTGTACAGGGAGCACCACACAGGGAAGAGCCGGAGCACGATACAGGGAGGAGTACTACTCAGGGAGCATCACACAGGGTGGAGTACTACTCAGGGACTGAGCCCTCTCTCCAGTTGTCATCAGGCTTGCAATGGTATTGGAACCATTAGCTACTTACTAACTCCAGCTCCACCGCCCTGGCCCGGCCTCTGCTCCCCCACCCACAGCCCCCTGGTTAGGAGCTTCCCGGTGAACACACCCTGCCTTGCTCATTAGCTCCATCCACTTTTCACTCAATCCAAGAATCTTGCTTGTCATCTGCCTGGTATCTGCCCGGGAACGCCATGAAAGCTCTACTAGTGAGCAGCGCAGTACCAGGTTTGGGCTTCTGTCTCAGCTGCCAGTGGCTTTTCTTTTAACAATGTGATTTTTCCAGACTTACTTCAAACAGCAAGCCCTTTGCAAAGAACAGTTCAGAACTATATACAAGTCCAACAGAAGTCGCCATCTGTGGCTCACGCCTGTAATCCTTAAAATACTCAGGAAACTGAGATGAGGATCAATGTTCAAAGCCGGCCTCAACAGGAAAGTCCATGAGCCTTGTCTCCAATTAGCCATCAAAAATCCAGAGTGGAGCTGTAGCTTGTGGTATAATACTAGCCTTGAGTGAACATCTAAGTGTGTGAAGGGCCTAGCTCAAGCCCAGGACCAGCACAAAAACATGAGGGATAGGGCCAGGCCCTGTGTGGCGTCCCTTAAGGCAAGCAGAAGGTTTTTGCCTGAGGATCAAGGTTCAAAGCCAGCCTTGACAGGCTTTCAAACACTTTTGAGTAGCTTCTGGTGAGATTCAGTCTGTAAGCTGAAGAGGACCATTGTTAACTAATGGTGATAATGAAAGCACGCACCGCACCGAGCTTCTCCTTTCGGTGGCGCGTCCTGAAGACAGAGCCCTGGGTGGTACAGGTAGGAAGTCCTGAACCTGCCCTCCAAAGCCCTGGTTTTTGTTCTGTTTCGTTCTGTTCTGTTTTGTGTTGGGGCTGGGGCTTGAACTCAGGGCCTCAAGCTCTCACTTGGCTTTTCTGCTCAAGGCCAGTGCTCTACCACCTGAGCCACGGCTCCATTTCTGACTTTTTGGTAGTTTATTGGAAATAAGAGTTTCACGTTTTGCAGTTTTTCCTGCCCCAGGCTGGCTTTAAACCAAGATCCTCAGATCTCTGCCTCCTGAGTTGCCAGGATTATAGCATGAGCCACTGGCGCCCAGCCTCCAACTCCTTGCTCTTAACCACAAATGCTAGAGATGGAGGAACCTTGCGGTCTCCAGGAATGGAGTGGTGTCCTTGAGAATTGCTCCCCACCACCGCCATTTTCATGAGAAACAGACCTAGACTTGTAGAACAGTCATTACAGCCAGAGCTGAATGCCCATGCTTGGCGCTGTCTTTGTCTCTGCCTGTCGGGGAGACAAGGGGGACAAAAGTCGATTTGACAGCACCCTTCTGTGTGTGTTTTATGTTTTCCTTTGTGATTTGGTGTGCTTCTTAATTTGGGATTTGATTTCATTGATTGGTTAAGACAATTGAACGTGTTTCATGAGTGGGGCCCCCAAATTAGCTATGGCTTTATAGTTTGTGCCTTTAAGATTTATTCACCTTTTAAACTCAATATAGGTAGTGTATAATCACTGATGCATACTTAAAACAAATTAGGATACCCTGCAGGATTAATAAAATTAATCCTGACCATCACTGTTCGTGTTTGGAAACTTGCCATGTGGTAGGTGATCTGTGTACATTGTCGTGTTCACTTTTTGATCTCTTAAAAATTCTGTACTAATAGCCAGGTCCTGCTGATGGCTCACACCTGTAATCTCAGCTACACAGGGGGCTGAGATCTGAGGGTCCTTGTTTGGACCAGCCTGGGTGGGAAAGTCTGTGAGACTTTGGGAGTGGTACTGTGGCTCAAGTGGTAGAGCACCAGCCTTGAGCAAAAACAGTAAGGGATAGCAGCCAGGCCCTGAGCCCAAGCCCCAGTACCAGCGTGCACATGCGCTCGTGTGTGCACACACACACACTCACACTCAGTAAAAGCAAGGTAGCATTTTCCCTATCTGACCAGAGGGGATTGAAACCTCTAGGGTTTAACAAATTCAGATGAGTGAGATCAGCTAACTTGGGGGATGGCAAAGGCCACTGGACCCAGGCAGGGCCCTTCTCCCAGACTTGGATGGAGGACTTGCAAGGTAGAGCAGAGGATGCAAGACCAGTGCCAGGCTAGGCCGGGCAGAAGAGGTGGAAGCTGCTGGCTTCAGCACCTTCCTCCTTGTAGAAGTGGGAAGCTGGTGCCCCACGCACTGTGGTCCATTTGCCCACATGGGCACAAGCGAGCCTCCCAAGGACTTCCTGGCACTTTTTACCCTGACTGACTCAAATGCCACACACGAGCTGCTTGTGTGGCTGCTGTGGCCATTGACGAGGAAGAGGATGGGTAAGTTTTCATCTTGCTGAAATCAAGTTGAAAGTTTAGGCCTCCTAAGCAGGGTCTTACCCTGTGCGTCAGGTCATTGTATTGTATTTCTTAGGTTCTAGTTCCTTTTCAATTTTAGGACCTCATTATCCCAGGCCTCTGCACATAGCAAGGAACATTCTAGGTTATCAGCTCTGTAATTGCAGCAGTCAATGCCCAGAGCCAGTCAGGTCTTAGAGTAGCCGTGTCTAGAGTGTTTCATTGTCAGGTGCTGGTGGCTCACCCCTGTAATCCTAGCCACTCAAATGCTAAGATCTGAGGCTCATGGTTCAAAGCCAGTCTAGGCAGGAAAGCCCACAAGAATTTTATCTCCATTTAATCAGAAAAAGGCTGAAAGTGGGCTTGTGGCTCAAGTAGTAGAGCACCCGTCTTCAGCCAAAAAAATAAACAAAAAAACTCAGGGACAGCACAAGCACAGGTCCTGAGTTCAAGGCCTCAGAAGGGGCCTAATCCTCTGTGCATCCTGTCCCCGACGGTGGTTCCAGTGGCTCCCATCTTCCGTGGGAGGACGCGTGACTGCCCTGAGCCCCAGCATGGCCTCTCTCCTCCCCAGAGAGCAGCATCTCCGTGGAGGTGTCCAGCAACACCAGCACGGTCCTCGAGGGTGAGAGCCTGCGCTTCCTGTGCAGCGTGCGTGCGGCAGGCCGGCCGCAGGGCCGCTTCTCTGTCATCTGGCAGCTGGTGGACAGGCAGCACCGCCGCAACAACGTTATGTGGCTGGATCGCGACGGCACCGTGCAGCCAGGCTCCACTTACTGGGAGCGCAGCAGCTTTGGGGCCGTGCAGATGGAGCAGGTGCAGCCCAACGCCTTCAGCCTGGCCATCTTCAACAGCAGGAAGGAGGATGAGGGCCAGTACGAGTGCCACGTGACTGAGTGGGTGCGGGCCGTGGACGGCGAGTGGCAGATCGTGGCCGAGCGCCGAGCTAACACGCTGGTCTCTATCACAGCTTTGGGTGAGTGAGGGTTACGGCCCTGTGTTCCACCCCTTCCCCTGACTCCTTCAAAGGGACTTAGCAGGGTGTAGTGTTTATGAGCCCGGGGACCCCACAGGGGGTGCAGGGTTTCTGGGGCTAGCAGCTGCTGGTCCTGGCACAGGACAAGGTAGAACATCTTGTTGAGTATTTAGTAGTTACTTCGAGTCTGGCTGGGCCCAAGCTCTTGAACTCAGTTGTCTTCATTAAGTCCTCACTTAGCCAAGAGATAGTCTTTTTTATTTCATAAGCAAAGGAAGACTACTAGGTTAGTGAATTTGCCCAAGGTTTATGGCTTTTGTGTGTTGTATGCCAGAACTGGGGCTTGAACTCGGGACCTTGTGCTTTCTCTGAGGTTCTGTGCTCAAGGATGGCACTCTGCCACTTGACACAGCTCCACGTTTGGCTCTTTGCTGATTAAATGGAGATAAGAGTTTCCTGGATTTGTCTGTCCTGGTTGGCTTTGAACTGGATTCCTCAAACCTCAGCCTTCAGGGTAACTGGGATAATGGGTGTGAGCAAACTGGCTTCCTCAGACCTCAGCATCCAGGGTAGCTGTGATTACCGGTGTGAGCTTTCAGCATCTGATTATAGCTTTCAAGTGATTGCACCAGAAAGTCAGACCCAGAAAACTGGTGCCCATCCTAATGTTCTACTCCTTGAGACCCCTTACTTGAGAAAACCATTTCCTCTTTAGCATGAAATGACAAGATACCTTGAGGTTGGCGAACTCCAGAGAATATAGGGTAGGTAAGGATGCTTCTGAGATACAGTCAGTGTATTCACATGAGGGAGCAGTGCGGCTTGCGGGGCGACATCTGTGGATTCCGAGCCTAATGCTGTCACCTTGCACCTTCCCTCCCGTTCTTGGACCACGCCATCACCTTCCCGCAGGTGGCGCTGTTGGAGTTCCCAGTAAATAATGGCAGCTGTGAACAGTGCTCCCTGGAGCGGGTTCCTCCGGTCCCATTGGATTTGCTTTCCAAAATCCCAATCCCAAGGATGCTGGTACTTCCTACAGCAGTTACCCAGCTCCTATCTCTGTCTCTACAGATTTGCTCCAGTGTCTGTGTTTCCTGGATTTCTATCCCCTGTGCCTGGGGTAAGCCCTCACCCAGGCCAGGGCACTGCACAGAAGGGACAGGCTCCCGGCTGGGGGCTCCGGGATAGGTCTTGTCCCCTCCAAGCCTCTTCTGCACCCTGTGTGCAGACACAGATACGCAGGCACTGGCTGTGGCCTCCTGATGGTCCAGGAGCAGCCCCCAAGGCTTCAGTTTTTGCTGGCTACTTTGTAGATGAGAGTCTATGAACTTTCCTGACTAGACCAGCTTCAGACTGCAACCTTCAAATCAGCATCCCAAGTAGCTGGGATTACAAGCATGAGCCACTGGCACATAGCTGTGCTTCTGTCTCACAAGGCTGTTTGGCTCAGTGAAAGGGGGTGAGAGCAAACCAGCGTGCCTGTGCCCGGCACGTGGGCAGTGCTAGCCTGGCACACCACATGCCCTATGGTTATAGTCAGTGCTCCAATTGGGGTTCATATTTCACACTGGCACCGTGAGGAGTTGGGTGCTGATGAGGGGTACGAGAGTCTCTCAGCCCACTGAGACTGCACAACCCCAAAGCTTAGACTTGGCTCTCATCCAAGATCGCCACCTGCTGAAGATCAGCCCTCCTGCTGTGGCCCCTTCCTTCACCCCCAGGCTTTGTGAGGAAGCCCGAGGGGGGGGCTGGTGACCTCGAGTGCCCCGGGAGGGGCACTGACACCCTGGGGTGGGGGTGGGGTCACCCCAAAGCAATGAAGGAAGTTGGTTTTGTAGACTTGGTTAGATGTGGGATCCCAGGGTTCGCATAGTTCAGACTCCATGGCACCAGCCTGGCGTGGTGCCTCCTTCCTGGCATAGCCATATGGGTGTTTTTCACATTGTTCTCAGTCCATACAAATATCATCAGCACAGGCCAGCAGCCGTGGGCAGCCAGCAAGGGCATGCCTGGAAACTGGCACACATCAGTGATTCTGAGGGCCTTGTGTGGCCCGCCCCAAGGGAGGCTTTGGTGCCTTGGTTCTAGAAGGGGGCTTGCCATGCATGCACACAGGGTCTCTGGGAGGGGCTTGGGCTGGGCTGGTGTGTCATAGCATGCATACGTGGGAGAGGGAAGCCCCAAGAGAGGCCTTAGGGACTCTGCTGCTGGCCCCCATGGGGTCGCCCCCGGGGTGGGGGATGATCGTGGGGAACAAGCCAGATCTAGAGGCCAGAGCTCCCAGCTTACCCCTGCTTGCCCTCTAGACACAGGTTTTGCGGTGACAGCCATCTCGAGGACACCAGGGGTGACCTACAGCGACTCATTCGACCTTCAGTGCATCATAAAGCCGCACTACCCCACCCGGGTCCCCCTGTCAGTGACGTGGCGCTTCCAGCCCGTGGGCACCGGGGCCTTCCACGACCTGGTGACTTTCACACGGGATGGCGGCGTCCAGTGGGGGGACAGGTCCTCCACTTTCCGGACGCGGACCGCCATCGAGAAGGCTGAGGCCAGCAACAGCGTCCGCCTGAGCGTCAGCCGGGCGAGTGACACGGAGGCGGGCAAGTACCAGTGCGTGGCGGAGCTGTGGCGCAGGAATCACAACAGCAGCTGGACGCAGCTGGCCGAGAGAACCTCCAACCTGCTGGAGATCCGGGTGCTGCAGCCAGGTGTGTGTCCGCCGAGGCTTGGGGCTGCGAGTGGGTGCCGAGGGATGTGGGGGGCACTGGGGTCCACAGGAGACATGTGGGGCATGCTCACATCAGGTGACAGGAGACGGAGACGGGAGAGCCTGGGGGTGGGAAGAATGCAGAAGACAGTGAGGAAGAACCCCTCTAGTGTGAAACACAGAACATACGTGCACGTGTATGTACATACATACAGGCACCTGCGTACCCACCCACATAGGTGTGTCTCTTCATCTTGTGAGTCCTATAGCACTTTCTCCTCCTGTCCTTGATGGCCCGGCCCTGCCCAGCACCCTCTTGCATGCTTTGGTTGCTGCTTTGGAACCATTTGAGGGCAAAGTTGTGGCCATGGGGCACTTACCTTGACACTCCTCCCAGGACACCGTCTGTCCCCAGCGTGTGCCAGCAGCGCCTTTCTGTGGTGTCCCCTCCCTCCTTCCTTCCTCTCCTCTTTCTCTTTTTCATTGTGCCAGTACTATACTGGGGCTTGAACACACAGCTTCGCGCTCTCCCTTAGCTCTTATTCAATCTCAGCCCTCAGCCCTCTGGGTTGTGTCTTGGGGTTTTGAACATGGAGTTGTTGCTCTCACATTCTCTCTGAGATGTGGGGACAAGCTGTGGTTGGCCTGCAGACTTAGACTTTCCCTGGTCAGGTCTGTCACCTGGTGGTTGGAGGCTGGTGCCCCAGGCCTGGCCCCCAAGTATCTGAGTACTTCCTCAAGTATTGCTCCTTTATTAATTATACATTGAGCACTGCATGTTTTCCAAGAAGCTTCCTATTTCTCGTGTGTGCATGTGTGCGTGTGTGCATGTACGTTTGCCATTACTGGGGCTTGAACTCAGAGTCTGGGTGCTGTCATTTGGATCACACCATTTCTGGCTTTTTGCTGGTTCATTGGAGATAGAGACTTCCCTTTGAAATGGGATCCTCCCTCAGCTCTCAACTTCCTGAGGAGCTGATCCTGGCGCGCATGTGCGCACACACACGCACGCACGCATGCACGCACTGTGTGCTTGGGTGCTGGTGCTTTCCTGTAGGGGTTGCGTGAAGGTTGACAGTGCTGGAGGCATGTCAACTCTCGCCAGGGCCTGGCTGCAGCTAGGAGACGGCCTTGGTTCCTGTGGTCCAAAGCTCAGGTCAGCAGCGATGGTGAGGGTAGGATTTGAATCAGGTTCCTGTGAAGCAGTCTTTGGCTTGTACTGGACACCTTGTGTGCCGCTCACCCTCCTAGATGCTAGCAAGGTGACTTAGTTCCTTTCCCACCCACACAGTGCCAGGCCGGGGGGGGGGGGTTGTATCACTGTAGCAGATGCCCCACTGCCACAGGCTATGTCGGGGGGCGGAGGGGGGACAGGGGGAGCCCTGGTGGCCCACAATGGAGTGGCAGAACAGGATTCAAGTCTGGGCAGCAGTCTGGCCCCAGGTCCAAGTTCTTAATGTTATCCAATTACTCAAGGCAAAGGACCCAGTTTCTACTTCCATATTTAAATTTTTTTTCATACTGTACTAGGACTTGAACTCAGGCCTTGTGTTCTCATTTGGCTTTTTGTCTCAAGATTGACACTCTACCACTTCAGCCATGTAAGCAAGTGAAAGAAAACTCCCTTGGCCAACCCTGGCTGCCAGCTCAGCACTGACAAGTGGAAACCCATGGATTTGGGTGTTAAAGATTAATCTGACTTCCCCTCACGCTGTCCCACAGGGACCCCTTCCCTTCCCCCTTCACCCCAAGGTAGTGCTCTGCACAGGAGGCTGTTCTGCTGAAGCTTATTGCTTTGTCAATTTTAATGTGTAATATTGAATAGCCAGACCAAGAGATGGTCGTAAACATTTGGAAAATGAGGCTGACATTTCGTTTATTGCTTCTGTATTAACGATATATAATTGGAGAGTGTTTGTGCAGCTTGAGGAAAATCAGCAGGAAACCAGGTGATGCTGGTATACAATTCAAAAGAGGAATGAACAGCCTATGAGTGCAGAATACCAATCAGGTGCTGTGGCTCTCACCTATAATCCCAGCTGCTCAGGAGGCTGAGACCTGAGGGTTGCGGTTCAAAGCCAACTCCGGGCAGGAAAGACCATGAGACTTGTTTTTTTTTTTGGTCGTCTTGGGGCTTGAACTTAGGGCTTGGGCACTGTCCCTGAGCTTCTTTTTGCTCAAGGTTCTACCACTTGAGCCACAATGCCACTTCAGGTTTCTTCTGTGTATGTGGTACTGAGGAATTGAACCCAGGGCTTCATGCATGCTAGGCAAGTACCTTACCACTAAGCCACATTCCCAGCCCCATGAGACGCTTATCTCTAGTTAACCACCAAAGGGCTGAAAGTGGAGTTGTGGGTGAAGTGGTTAGAGTGCTAGCCTAAAGGGCTAAAGGACAGTGTCCAAGCCCTGAGTTCAAGCCCCAGTCAGGGCACAGAAAGGGAAGAAGGAAGGAGGGAAGGGATGGAAACTGAGGGACAATAGCCAGGATTCAGGGCTGTGGGTCAAGGTGAGGCCGCTGGCCAGGCCCTAGCCGCAGGTGACAGGCGTGGGCCTTGCTGGCGTCAGGGCTGGCCCTCGCTCACTCCTGAGCTGTGGGCAGTCATGAGCTGACCCTGTCCTGAGCTGGGCCTGCAGCACACCTCATGGTGCCCCTCTCCAGTTCCGGTCACTTCACAGTATTCTGACATGACATGAGAAAGGGGGGTGGGATTGCTTTGAAGCCCACCACTCTTTCTTAGTTCATCCTCAGAGCCTGTGCCTGAACTAGAGTTGGGTCACAGGAGGCCGTTACTGTGGCAACAAAGGTCTCCTTAGTAACAGCTGCAAATAGACTTTGACCACAAATAATAATACATTTCAAAGTGCTTTCTACTCTATACCATAAACAATGGCAAGCACAGGCTATGCGGGAGGTGTGGTCTGAGCTGCCTCAGTGGTTCGCTTGGTGAATGGGGTGGGAAGAAGGGATGAGAGGGGCCAGTGCTCCACAGCATTGCAGGAACCGAGCACAAAGCCAACTGGCCCAGCTGCAGCCAGTCATCCAGCTTGGAGGGCTGGGGGTCTCGCCTTAACCCTGCCCCGTGTCTCGTCCTGAAGGACTTCTTCCTTCCTGTGTGTAGAAAGGATGAAGTGGGGACAGAAAGACAGAACCTGAGGAGAGGGCTGTGGGCCGCCTCTCTGTGGGTGTTTGTGTGCTATCTGTGGGGTTCTGTGTTTGTGCATGTGTGTGTGCATGTGTGTGTGTGTGCACTTGCACTTGCCAGTACTGAGACTTGAACTCTGGGCCTCATAATCTCACTTATCTTTTTAGCTCAAGGCTGTGACTGTGCCACTTAAGCCACAGCTCCACGTCCAGCTTTTTGGGGGGTAATTGGAGATAGAGTCTCACAGGCTTTTGCCCAGGCTGGCTTTGACACTCCATCCCCAGATCTCAGCCTCCTGAATAGTGAGGCTTACAGGCAAGAGCCACTGGCGCCCAGCGCTTCTCTCTGGTTAGAGGTCTGTGTGAGAATTCAGTCCTTGGAGGAGAGGAGGTTGTCGGGCAGCAGGAGATGCGTCCTCAGAGCTTTTGCATAAAGGTGCTGGGTTCAGGGCGCAGCCAGGCTTTAGCAGGCTAAAGACTGCATCCATCCAGAACATTCCCAAGGTTGATGGGTGTCAGGCCAGAGATGTGAAACCATCTGACTCCTGGGATTCTGCTCCTGATGCTGTGTTGTCACACCAGGGGTATGTCCCGAGTCTGGTGCAGCTTCTCCTCCTGCGGCTTCAATCTGGTCTTAGCAAAGAGACAGCTGCGTGCTGGTGCCTCACGCCTGTAATCTAGTACTCAGACTGCTGAGTTTGGAGGATATCAGTTCTAAGCCAGCCTGAGCAAAAGTCTGTGAGACTATTGTCTCCAATTAACCACCCCCCCCAAAAAAAAAACCTGGAAGTGGAGGTGTGGCTGCTGCCACAGTTTTAAGCCAGGCGGCAGCTGAGCAGGAATATGATGTAGCTGTGTGGCCTGGGGTGGACAGGGGGCCAGAGGTGGTCAGGGCCTACTCCAGGGACAGTGCCGGACAGCAGGCTCCGGCCAAGCGTGGGGCGCTGCATTTTGGGGTCTGTGCTTCCCCCCCATCCCGTGTCCTCTCTGGCCCCGTGGCCCCCACTGACCCCATGTTCTTCTCGTTGGCTCCGTGTCCCCCACTGACCCTGTGCTTGCCTATGTCACACGCTGACCCCACACTCCCCGACCTTGCATATCCCTGCGCCTCCCCACTGACCCCGCGCCCCCGACCCGCACATCCCTGCTG